TTGTAGGACCCATGCCTGGGTCCTATGGGACGGTCCAGGTCCTAAACGCATATAAATATGCGTTTAGGACCTAATGTTGGGCGTGCAGGCCTGCACGCCAACTGCAGGCCAACTCCCCTGCAGCAGATTGGCGTGCAGGCCCGCACGCCAATCTGCGCCTGGCGTGCGGATTGGCGTGCGCCATGGGGGTTGGCGTGCGGTTATCAACCCCCTTTATTCACACAAACCTTCCCACTTTTCTTGTGTCACCCACACGTGTACATATCCTATTTTTGCTCTTGCAGCTAGTGTAGCTAGAAGAGTTCTGCTCTTGGCATCACTAAGCCTGACACAAGCAATCCAACACAACAAACATACTAAGGATCAACTGCCACTGACGCCAGATTCGTGGGCACTTCTAGATTCAGCAGATTGGAGAGGTCGACATCAAGGTGGGGTAGATAAGCTTAAGGAACGTTTTGAAGGTCCATATCGGGTCTTACGGGTAAGCAACCATGGACAAGACGTGGAGCTTGAACTTCCAGAAGGTGACTGTCGACACCCAACCTTTCACATTTCAAAACTGAAAGCATACCACATTCCAGAGGATGGTGAACATATGGAAGCACAGAAGTAAGTCCATTTCCTCTGGTGCACCTCTGAGTATCTCTACATAAAAGTTGTAAGACATCACCTTGGCCAAGTTGTGAGCACACACACATTTGCACCCCAGGATCTCTGCAACTGATGGAATCCCTGCTAGGCATCAACCAATAAGTCAAGACTTCCCCCTAAATTCACCGACACCTTCCCAAACTTCCTACAATCTGGCCCTGACAACTCCCCTTCCCTCCCTTCCCTTACTCCTCTCTCTTCTTCTTTCTTTCTTCCTCCTTTCCTCTTCCTTATCCTTCTCTTCTTCTGATTTATTTTCTGCATTTAATTTTTTGTTTGACATCCTGTTGTTTCCTCATTTCGCTACTCTTCATTCACATTATAGGGGGGGAGAATGTGAAACCTCGCCACACACAGGTTTCACAAATCAATCCTGGAGGCTTACATAATCACCCCAACCCATTTCATTCTTATAAACCAGTCAGCTCAACCCCTGCCTAGCTTGGTAGATAACTCCGGCCCTTTTCTTCTACCGAGCTAGGTGAGTAAAACCATTTCACATTTCTTTCTCTTTTTTCTTTTAATCATGTTTCTTTTCTTTTCCTTCTTTCTCATCAGATCCTAAATTGTTTAAGTAGTACTGAGAGAACTCCGGCCCTTTTCTTCTACCAAGCTAGCTCTTTGAAATTCATCTGATTCAGGTTCTAGAAAAGTTCTCTCCAGGCAAATTGCCTGTCTCGACGTCATATAAGCTCAGATAGTGAAGAGTCAGGACGTGACTCTTACAGTGTTGGACTCAACTGGGTCAGAGAAAAGGTTTTGTGGAAGGATTATGTATTCCATCAGCAGAGAGAAACAAAACACAGAGAAAAACAGAAAAGGAAGAAAGAAAAAGAGAGAAAAGAGAAAGTGCATACCTGGGTCAGAGAAAAGGTTTTGTGGAAGGATGAGGAGAGGAATCCTTCCACGTACTCTGGCCCAGGTATAGTCTGAATCCTGTGACAGGTGGGTGACAGGTCTGAAACAGGTATGAAGCAGAGAAAGAAAAGAGGAGAAGGAGAAACACTACTCCAACATACAGCACGCCAATCAGCAGCTGGCGTGCAGTTTGGCGTGCACGAGGGGGGTTGGCTTGCGCTTATCAACCCCCGTGCCGCTACACTAATGCTAAGTGGGCCTGTAGCGTAGTGTAGTGTATGTAAGCCCTGCTCCTCACAGGCTTACACAAACCTGTCACGAGCTTACATAAGTCTATCCTGGGTTGTATTTAGTCTCACTCTTCCCCTTTACCTAGACGGCAGAGATCTTTCTCTCCTGTCTAGGTAAGTACCTTATCTTTCTCCTTCTCTTCTCATTTCGTTTCCTCACTTTCCTCCAATTGTAGATACTAACGAGAGATCTTTCTCTCCTGTCTAGACATGAAATAAAAGACACGTTGGTACTAGAATCTTCTCTGTAGACGCTATTGAGCGCCTTTTCTAGCACCTTTCCGACAGACAGTGAAGGACTCGACGGAGTCCTTACAGTGTAGCAGCCCACTGTTGGTACAAGCTGAATCAAGGTATACAATAGAAAGAGATATTAAATGAAATAAATGAAAGCAAGGATGAATGAGAATGAGAGAAAGAAAAAAGAAAGACTTGCCTAGCTCAGTAGAAATAAGTGCATCATGGTTCTCTGCCAAACTAGAAGAGGGGGAAAGCCATGAGGAAAAAATAGCTGTTGGGGATCTAATTCTTGTGTAATCTGGTTGAGTCTGTTTTGTGAAACCCATGAGTGGTGCGGGTGTGGCATAACATTTCATTTCAATATTTCTTTACCTCATATGACATGTGAAGCACTGTACCATGTCCCATCAGTACAGAATAAGGGATCTGTTTGGATGAAGAAGTCAATTCATATAAGATATTTAAGGATAAAGGGGATGCTCCATCAACTGTCTTTTCATTAATCAATCAATTCCAAGTTGCTTCTCATAAACAATTCAATTATGACAAACATCTGCCTTTTGGGGATTTTCAGTTTCTTTCTGACTTGTTGTGCAATGAATGAATTTCCACACAATTTCATTGATGATCTTCACAGTCAGGACCAACCCTCCAATAATTCAGTTGTTGGAAAGTTCTCATTGGTCCTGTCAAATTGGGAATTTCCAAAGGGGAAACTTTCAGCGCACAAATCCACACATCAGAGACCAACAGCTGATGTCATTGATCATGGTTACACCACTTCCAAAATAAAAGAGCTCCAAGATGCTTGTTGATTCATTCAAAAATTCTGCACCAAAAAAAAATGTGCATCTCTTCCACAGGGCTTTGAATCTCAGCATCCAACATGCACTCAAGAGATGGGCACATTTGCTTCTGGTTCAACCCAACTGTCACCCACTTCCAGAACCAAATACTCCAAACCAAACAAGACAATTGATCTTCTGTCTATATTTGGTATTTCACCTCCTGCAGATCCTCCCAGAGTCCAGAGCTCTTGGATGAACAAGCAAAATTCTTTCTATCAAGGCCAAGATGAAACCAAGAAAACTTGGCTGGAAAATCATAAAAATGAAAATTCAATTCCTAAACACAATCAAAACATGTATTGGGAACCTCTAAATTATCGTAGTATTAGAATGATTCATGAATCACTGTGTAAGAAGGCCAGACTGAATAAAAATATTTCAAAGTCCCACTGGAGAACTCGAATTGTAAATTAGCAAGAATTGAGGTGTTGTATTCATCCTATCTCACAGGGAAAAGCTGGCCAAACCTCAGCAGATCCAGAAATTCTAGGCAAAAAACCAAAGAGATATTTTGGAGAAGAAGAATTTTTTGAATAATGGGATTAATGAAAATTCAGTCTATGGAAGAGCAGGGAATTCTTGTGAATCTCCCCTGAATATTGTTACTGATGAACAGATTAGAGAACCTAAATTGGGGATTGAGAGAAAAGGTAAGAGAAAAGCTTTAGGTGATCAAATTCATGAAGAAGAAGATACAAGTCCAGAGGTTGAACAAGAAGTTAAGGTAGTTCTTGAAAAAATCAGAACAGGCTCAATATTTCATACTTTGTTAGATTATGGAAATGGTACTGAACTTTACCATCAAAAAAACTCATTCTACAGTGTCTTAAATCAAGGAAAGCCTGAATTGGATCAAGTAACTTCAAGCCATTCTTCTAGGAAAGAGATGCATGAAAGCTACAGAAGGTTATGGCATCACAAAGATCAATGGTTCAAATTTTGGGAAAGAAGCACTGGAATTGAGATCTTGACAGAAATCAAGAGCAAAGTATATGTATCTAAAAATGTGGGAGCATTATTACACATATGCTTGTTTTACATTGAGATGATTGATATGATCATCAACCAAGCGGGGATTCATCCAGTCATTGAGAAGAGGAAATAAATTTTCAGCAATGCATTAAAAGTGTTTGAAGCCAAACCAAAGTGTGAATCAAATTGTATGGGTCATTTGGGTATGCAATTTTGAACTTTTCTGTTTGAAAAGTTCAAAATTGCATACCCAAATGACTCATACAATTTGATTCACACTTTGGTTTGGCCTTTCTTGAATACTTGGATTAGGGACTTGGGAAACAAGGACCTGGAGATATTTGCTTTTAGAGGGAAAGGTTCTGTACATGATGGATTCGAAAGGTTTTTCAACAACATGCTCAAGTTCTCATGTGAAACACTGAATTTTTGAATTGAAAGATGGTCAAAGACCTAATTTCTAGTTATTTTTCCCATGCCTATTTTAGTTCTGCTCTGACAATATATATAAATTTGATCTCTGTATCTATCAAACCCAACAGGGTTCTCCAACACAAAATGATCGTTAAAAAATATGAATGGTATCTATCTGTTTATGTTTGACAATTGGGGTTCAATAAGAGTTAATGGATTTTAATCGGATTTGGTTGAGATTAAACTTGATGCTAGGCGTGGTTGTTGAAAGACCAAGTTGCAATCGAGAGTTCTGTTTGACACGAGTCATTCAAGAAAGACAAACCCTCATGATGTCATAACTTTTGTTTTACAAGAAAAAAGTGGATCTCCTGATCTCTTAGAACTAGAACCTACTTACAAATTTTGGTATCTTCATTGTTGGATTGAGTTCAAGAGGTAATTGCTTTTGAATCATGTCGGTTGTATACATTGGCCTTGGGCAATTCATGGGTGAGGTGAAGAACCAGACGCATTCCTGAAAGTGACAAATTATAGGTCAGTGAGATTCAGAGATAATTTCTGAGGCATAGTTTCCTTACATCCTTGACTAGAGCTGAACGATAAACTCTGTGACAGAATCCAAGCGGTCGATGAAAAAACTGCCACATCTCATTGCCAACTCCAATTCTTCGGCCACTCCATTGTATTTGGAACAACATCGCCTCGCTTAGATGGAATTGGATCCAACAATCGTTTTGTAGAGTTCGTTCGAAGTTGCTAGACGCGCATTGGTCATTTTGCTTCGCCAACCAGTCTCTGATAATGACAGGTCGATGGCAAAGCGGACATCGCCGGAGCGAACCAGTCTCTGGATTGGGCTCCCGTCTGACGGATTCTCCTCGGATTTCATCTCTTGCTTGATCTGATCAATCACGCTGGACATTTGCGTATCGTAGTCGTAGTCTACCCCGCATCCCGGCACAATCGAGGTCAAGTTCAAGTCGCATGGATCGGATGGAAGATCACTGGCGAGCACCTTGCGTTGATCTTCAACTGGGTAGGAAAAGATGGACCGCGCAACTTCCCACTTGATGATATGATTCTCAAGCTGGGCGAGTTCTTTTTCAATGTCACTGTCAAAGTATTGTGTAGCGGCTTCCGGATTAACACCTCCTGATACCAATCGGATACGAGGACATGATAGCTCTACCTCGGATCTGCTGTTACTGGTTCCCCAAAAGCCATATACGAGCACCAACAATAGCGGAGCCATGAGTTGAACGTCGAGCAAACTCACCGCCCCACGTCAACCCATGTAAGCATCTGGGCAGTGGTCAGGCCCGGTTCAATAGCAAGTTCACAACAACCGAGTCATGCTTTGATATCTATAGGGCCTCCAGCACTTGCGGCCCTGCTTAGCCCCCCAAGTGAACACCAACCTGAAGGGATAAGATGATAAATGCAACAACCCTCGCCAGTACTGCTGATCAGATGATCACCAACTGCCCAATCACACTCGGCACTGTCACAGAGCAAGTACAACAAGTGAGCTGTGAGATGCAGCAATCATTACAAGGGAGAGTGTAGGATGGGATTCCGGCTGTCAACTCAGTCATCCACTCTGATGATGAAAGATCTTCATCTCTTAAGAGCCCAAGCTGGGATGCGGCATGGCGAGCCATATGGGCTTTCACCTTCCAACCAAATGCCAAAAATTCAGATTAGCTCCTCCTCCAGGCCGGACGTACACGCAGAGGGGAATCGTCATCTGTTGTGCTTCACATGATCACAAACCGGGTGGTTGCCCCAAAGTGGGAGAATTTCATTGAATAGCGGCACAACTTTCTACTGTGGTTCAGTGTGGATAAGTGCAGGCTTGAGCGACGCTAAAGAGGCCACCCGAGGGGACTACGTCTTTCCGATCAAAGGTGACCATACGGCCACCGCCAAGGGGTTGACCGTTCTGTGTTGAAAGGCATGTATGTCATTGGGAGGTGTCAGTGCTACCGTCGAGTACATAATAGAAATTATAACGAGGATGCATTGCTGGCCACACGTACCGCTCCCAGTGTCGACTCTCTTTTACAGCACCGGATAACACTAAACCCGCCATTTGCAGCGGCGTCAACGCAGCCTTTGCTGTTTGCGACCCTACCTTTTAGATTTCGTAGTACAAAGAATCAGTTTAAATGAACGGTAAAGGTAGCATGTCTTGACACTACACTAGTTATCTAAAAATACATACCCTTAATTTTGGGGTGTGGGTTGTAGTAGTCGGATGCCAATAAGCAAACGGCTGATGGGCGAGACGGATCGCAGTTTATTCCAACAACGCTGATGGCCACTTGGGTAACTAGCAAGGCTCCGGCCAGTAAAATCATAGAGGTTGAGCGGTAAACGGAGTTCATGATGACGGTTTTTGGTCAAGCTTAAAAGTCGACGCAAGTACTACTTCTACTTAGAAATTGGAAGAGGGAATAAATAGTGCGTCGGTCAAGTTGGAATGCTGGGATGATGAAGGATGGGAGTGGCAGAGCTTTTATGGGGATCAATGAGTTATCGAACGATTCGGACTAAAAGTGCCGATGATGATGAGGTCCTTCATTTCTTCTTCTTCGCTTGACCACATGAAGCTGAGCCACAAGCTATTGGCGGATGGTAATACTATGTATGTACCACTTGAATTCTGGTATACACAAATATAGCCTCTGCCACTCATTGACAAAATGGACACAGCTTACATCCGTATCAGCCCAGGTCCCATGTATTGCTATAGAGTGCAAAAGGCCCAGCCGGCCATGCATACATAGTTACACAATTGCTCAAGTTTGTGAAAACCGGACATATAAAGAATTTTCGAGAATCCAGAGGCTATTTCCTTTTAGCAAGCAGGTTACGGTAGGGTGCAGGGAGGATTTTCAAGATCCTGAAGTTTGAGTAAAGAAAAAAAAGACTTTTACTGATTTTACTGTAATATGAGAATGAAAACAAAATAAATCCCATAGGGGAACAAGAGTGAGTTCAAAAAGAGAAGGGTTATTTAAGACAAAAGCTCACTTGACGCGCGCCGGGATCTCAAAACTCCTCGACGCGCCTAACAACATGCTATGTATAAGTCAAAGTAGAATTATCAGTATGTATAACTATGTGAGAAAAATAGAAAATAAAAAACAAGATCTGTTGGTTATTTTATTTACAAGAATTTTTATAGAAATAAAATAAAATAAAATTTTGAATCGAGTCCTGAGGTTGCCTATTGTTGACAGGACATTGCCCTGGGCTTGGTTGGGTCCGCTCATGAGAAGATCATGTTATATGACACCTTCAAGACCAGATTAACAGAAGTGCCACTTGATGAGATGAGGACCATTGTGGCCACTGTAGCGCCCCCATGGGAAGCTAACTTGAAAGGGGGCAGTCTCTGATCCGGAAAAGACTGACAAGACCCTTGTGTACGGAAGCCCAGGGGGGACATCAAGACCCCCTTTGATTTTTGATTTTTCCGGGTGCAATAAAGAATGTACAGCTCAACTGTGCACTCCCCTATTCCTCCAATGGCCAAACACAAAACACATAACAGTCGGTGTCCGCAGTTTGTGATGAGTATGTACACCTGGGGAGTAGTTTGACGTGGGGGGCAATCTAGTTTCCACGCTGATTCCCATTGAGACAGCTCAGCGGGCCAAGATGCATTGGCCTGAGTCCACAGAATCACAAGGTCTCCACTGTGAAAGCCCAATTGGTTTCCAGGTGGCAGATTTCCTGATCCTGTGGAGTAGACGTGGAGTACTGTAAAGAATGGGCCCAGTTTTGGGCCCTGGGGATCTTCAGGGTACAGAGTACAAACAGGGACAGGGTTCATGGGGAGTTTTACGTCCTATGTGATGAAAAAGCTTTCAAAGCTTTTTCATTTTTTTAAAGAGTGAGGAGTAAAAGTGAACACAAAATTAATCCCATGAGGGGAGAATGGAAATGGGAAAACCAAACAAATATTTATATCAAGGGGATTAATAAACTTACCCCCCTTCTCTGCTATCCACACCAAGTTTTTCACACCCGCTTTTCTGCATTTACCCCTGGTTTTTCCCAGCCTTTGTAATTCATTTTTTGGAAATTCTAAATATGCTAAATCTTCTAAAATTGAACATTCTTTTTGGGTATATATTGTCGTTTGAATAAAGCTTGGACAAACCGAGGTTTTCCAAGCGCCAAAGTTATGTTGTTATGCTGCTGTGTAACAGTTTTGGCTGCTGGTTTTTGCCACACAGCTCTGGTTTGATTCAATTTGCTGTGATCAAGCAGATACCAGCATCCTAGCTGGCCACCACCACCACGAATACCAATTATCCTGGCATCGATCCCATACAGAACATCAATAGATGATTTTTCAATCCTACATGGCATCCACCAAGGCTCGCTCGATCCTATGTAATGGCGCTTGAACAACTCCGGTTTTTGGCCATCCAAAAGTTGGTATTTCAATTTCCCATTGGTCGTTTGGCCATACAAAGAGAGCTAATATATTTTCCTCATGGTCTGATTTGCCTGATTGAACTCGGCTTTGCAGCATTTAAACAGCACTCACAAGCCTTGTAAGTCTTATATCAGACCGATATGTAACCCCGGATTGGCAATTGGACACAATCATAGATGTTATGATGATCGATCTTTGATAAAAGTCTTATAGACACTGTGAGTAATGTGTCCTGTCAAACTCAACAGTTTTCTTGACATTTTCTTCTTTGTTTTTCTACCAACGGTTTGTTCTCACTGACATTCAAATCTTCTTTTTGGGCACTTAGTCACTTCCCTGGATTTTTTATGTGTTATCTGCTCATTGATCCATCACGAACACATCAAATAACCCTAGGTCAACCGATTGGTGTTGGCATTGTAGCCAAATTTTTTGTTTATCTGCAGCTTTTTCATGATTTGAATGTTGTTACTTCTCTTATCCTTGTATGAACCGCAGATAATCGTAATGGGAAATTAGCCCATCAATTCTTCTCTACACAATCTTGTAATGAACAGGAATTTAAATCGCATCCAAGACGACCGTTGGATTCACTTGTTGTCACTCATTGGAGTGAGGCTCTTGTTCAAAATCTTAGAAATCTGAATGAGATTAGCACCGATTTGATGGACTTGCTTGGAACTTTACTCCAAGGGCTTACCAACCAAAGTCGCTGATTCAGAACTTAGCAAGTCTGCATTGAGGGTTCCTCTACCAACCGATTCTGGCTCTACTTGGCTTGAGATCAGTTTCTTGACCTGGGTCGCATATCATTGATGACAACTCCAAGGTTGCTTGTATACATCTCACCGAGTTGGTATTGAATTTTAGACTTCATTTATTATAGTCTTTGAGATCACAACAACACCACACTTATGAGGTAACAAGGATGATAGGAAGTGGGATGAGATCAATGGTATTGAAGCAGGTATGAAGCATGATAGGATACAAGTCAAGATCGAAACCATTCAACTCGGTAAAAATTAGGATTGAACGACTTGTGCCTACATGTTGAGGGGATAAGGCAAAACTGATCAGAAACACCATCGGTCAGAATCAGTTTCAAGGCCAAAAAAACTGACTCAAATTTTCTCCTGAGTTTGCTAGCACTATGATACAATGATGATGGTCTGCCGTTTTCAAGAAGAATGTATCCAAACGGTGTCATCGAGACGATGGTTGACCCTCCAATGTGATTGATTGATTGTTTTTGGTGGTTTTGGGGGATGGATTGAAGGTAGCTGGCCGGATTGGATAGCAATGGAGGCTGGCGGCCGCTGTGGCAGTCAATGACGACATCATGGCCTTTGAGAGGGAAAATATAAAACAAAAATACAAACTTAAATCAATGGTGGGCCGCTACACTAACCGTAGCGGTTAGTGTAGCGTAATGCAGCGGTATTCCTGTTAGCGCTAAGCGTAGCATAGCGGAATTCCGCCACGACACCGCTAACGCTACGCGTGTGGGCCACAAAAAAGGGCCCACTACGCTGCGCTACAGCGCTTTTTAGCGGTTTTTGGCCGCTTTTTCCGCTAAAAGCGCTGTAGCGCAGCGTAGCGTAGCAAAAACCCGCTAAAAATAAGCTAACACTACAATTTTTTGAGGAAAAAAAAGCGCCGCTACGCTACACTTTTTGGGCCAAAAGCGTAGCGTAGCGTAGCGGCCCACCGCTGCTTAAATGGTGAAAATCTAGGATTTTTGAGTGCAGATCCTGCAAATCCGTCCAAGCATTTTTCAAATCACAATAAAAAATCCTCAAAAGAGAAATTTTAGTTTTGAGTCATTTTATTCATCAAGTTTTTTTTTCTGTCTATGAGTTTTTAAAATTCAAAGTACATTTAAATTTATCATTGATATTGCCCAATCTTTGAAAAATCTATAAAGAACCAAATTTGATTTCATTTTGGAAATCCCAATGTTGTTGGTTTTAAGTTATAGGCCAATGGACAAAATAAGGAATATCTTGAATGGTACCATCTATATGGAGAATAAAAATTAAAAAATTCACAATTGATAATAAGTTTTAGAAATAATGCAAGTTTTTAAAAGTTCATAGGGAGAAAAAAGATTGGGAAAAAAGGGGTGAGAAAAATAAAATAAAAAAATTGAAATGCTCTTTTGGGAATTTTTAAGATGCCCAAAAACAATGCTTGATTTTAGATTATTTTTAGCATATTTGAAATCCCCAAAAAATGAATTAAAAAGGCTGGGAAAACCCAGGTTTAGAAGCAGAAAATCAGGTGTGAAAAACTAGGTGTGGATAGCAGAAAAGGGGCGTACGTTTATTAATCCCCTATATCAATTATTCGCATTGAGATCTCAACATCTCTGACATGTTCCCCTTTTTTTGTCACATATGTGCGGCATTTGGATTGTGTCTTGTTCTCTGACCGATGAGGGTGTGCCTTAATTGTTGAAGTGGTGCAGAATAGGTCCCAAAGAATGAATATGAAAAAATAAAAACAAAAAACAAAGTTTCAAAATTTGGGAAAAATAAAAAATAAAATTGGTTTTTTTTTTCAAAAGCTTTGATATTCATTTTGGGGGAGTGTGTCAAGTTTCGATCCCTGACCCCTGTTTCGAGGCTTCAGCCTCAAACGCCTTCTTGAACCAAGTTTTTACTTGTAAGTCAACAAGCAGGTTCCAACCAGTCGAGGGTCTAATACCCCTTCTGTGATATTCTGTGACTAACCAGCATTTTAACCTCACTACCAATGTAGGACTCCTGGGACGGATAGACACGGTAAAGTATATGTATATCAAAAGATCCCTTGAGGGGGAAATAAATTGCAAATAGGTTGAAAGGCTATTACAACTTACGGGTGGTTTGAAAGACCTGCCCCTCTAATTGTACTAAACAAATAACTAAGAGTCTTGTAATCAATATTTAAGAA